TGTCACAGTTAATTATCACAGAGCAGAAGAGACAGATCCGAGTACATTAAAATACATATTTAATTCATCCATTATGCTACAAAAAATCCACACAAGAGTGATTGGATCTGATGGCAAGCAGATCCTAAGTGCTCTCAGTTTTAGTAAAGCATCATCTTCCATCTCTCTCGGCACCACTCAACACTGGAATTTGTTAAAAACTGTAACACCATCTTAGATGTATGTTCCTATGATCTATCCGACTAATGCAGTACAAACAAGTGGAAAGGCTTGTTCAAGGGATTTTATTATTATTCTCAACACAAACTGTCTTTCTCGCTCGTTCTTTTGCTCTTCGTTTCATATATTAAAACGACAGTACACACAACAAATATCAAGAACACTATACAAAATAAATATAACCACCCTAAATTAACTCCACTCCGCTAATAAGAAAAAAACCTCTAAAGGCCTGGTTCACACCTAGGCGTTTTTGAGCAGTAGAAAAAGTGCGTCTAGACGCCCTCTGCCTCTTCTTCATTTTCAGCTACCAGGTCTAAACCGTCCTCTCCGCATGAAGAAACAGGAAGTTCTATATTGCCTTTAAGGAATCACAATTTTTTTTTTTCAAAAATCAGCTAATTGCACTTGAGAACTCTCACCAAACCACTAGGTCTCCAGGTTTTCTCGCAGAGATCAAAGATATATTAATTTGCCTCCGCCTCATTATTCTAATCATTCACATGCTTCCCCTGCCCATAAGGGAGTATCTAGACCTGAATGCAGGTCCTGTTGGACATGTGCAGATTTGCTAATGCTGCAAAAAAAAATCTCTGAGGCATGTTTATGAGAAGCAGTGCAATCATCAGGCATCATAGGAAGTAGTTTATACAAAAAGCGTAGGAAAGCATGGAATTGTTTCTCACTAAAAAAGAAGGCAGAGTGGGCAGAACCCTCCACCTCAACTGATGTACTCATGGCAAAGGTAGAACAGAAAGAGCATTTGACTTTACGTTGGTACCAGCTTTTTTATTCAAGTAGTTAAGGAGGCACTGAATTAAGAAGAAAATTCATCCTAGCATAAGAAAGTCAGAAAGTATTTTCCTGTTCTGAAAAAAAAGAGCCTTCAGCCTATCCACTCATTCCAGAAATAAAAATTGCAGGAGAAGGAGTGCGCTAGGCGAGGTAGAAAGATTTATTTTCAAAAAAATTTGATTGATATTCCCCCAAATGTTGAGGCATCAATTAGGAGGCTGGCCCAACATGTGCCGTGCAGTCACGGAGTATCCCACCACTGCCGATCGCGCTCGCAGTGCCATTATTTACAAATGGCACCCCAGTCAAGCCAGGCAGATCGTGCGGGATTCTGCTCATGCAATTGAACATGATCGTGGCTAAAAAAGTTGCGTGGATTATTCAGAAAGTAAAATCCTTCAATATGGAGTCCATAGAGGTTATCACCATGGTAGTTCACCCAGGAGATTGGCTTCTTTCAATAGATCTACAAGATGCTTAACTCTGTGTGCTGATCTTCCCTTCAGAAGTACTTGCAGCTTTGCCTCCAAGGTCACCATTTTCAATTCTGCTACCTTCCCTTCTGGATTTCCACTGCACCAAGGACATTAACAATGGTTCTTCTGACATTTGTGGTGATCTACCGCAAGATTGGATCCTAAGTATATCACTACCTAGACCATCTTATGATAGTGGACTGCTCGAGAAGATTGAGATTGAACACTTCAGTTCCTCTCCAAGCTCAGGTAGTTTATAAACCACAAAGTCAGCTAGCATACAACCAGCTCAAGATCTCAGATCTGGGCATGCAGTTTGACACAAAATTACGAGAAGTGTTCCTTCCATGACAGAAAATTACTGCAATACATTAGAAGATCAAATATCTACAAAGTAAATCCTTTCTTTCAGTGTCTTCCTCTGCTGCCAGTATTGTGACCCGATCCTCTGTCGAAGGAAGATCGCAATCACATTTTAAACCTAAAGAAGCTCCTATTGATGCACTATGAGCAAACAGCACCTCTCGGGAAGTCAGAAAGACTGTTCATCCTTCCAACATGGCCAAGGAAACCTGCTTTAGCATGAACAATTGCAGCATGGCTTCAACACTTCATCAAGGTAAGGTGGCCTACAAAATTTGCAGATTGAATCTTCCTGATGATCTTAAGGCACTTTTGACAAAAGTAATAGGCATTCCAGCAGATGTCATCTGCAAAGTCGTGAGCTGGTAATTGCAGAAAACATTTATAAGCCTCTACAAGCTGGATATGGCAGCAATTTCCCACTGTACTTGTCATGTTTAGTAAATTCTTCTGCATCATATCCCTCCCTTGTGTGTAGAGTGCTGCATAGGTCCATAACATGGAACATGGTAAGGTGCCTGGGAAATTAAAAATGTATATCAAATACATGTCAAAATATTTCTCATCACCTTACCATGTCAACAATTTTTCCCCACCCAGTTTTTGCAGAATGTGTGCCATAGTTCTAGGGAAATTTGTATAGCTACTCAATGGAGCTGTCCAAGCCAGGGGCAAAGATTAACTCTCTAATTGGAGGATATGGTAAGCCACCTGGAAAATATTTGATAAAATGTTTAAAGTAGTAATACATTGAGCAGTAATAAAGATGTTTTGATATAAGGATGCATTATGTTATAAAAAAATGTTTTAAAAAGGTATAGGAGCCAGGTCACTTCCTTGCTTTATGTATTAGATACCCCCAGTAGAAATATCTCCCTGACATATTTTTGTTCTGGTCTAACTGGGAGTTTTGGATGTTCCCATCCACCTTTGCTTGTTCCATTCTCTATAAAGAAATAAATGAAAAATCCAGCAGGCAGAATAAAAATTACAATAGCCACAGCAGGTATGAAGACCTGAGAAGCACAAAGATCTCACCAATAGTGTCTCCCGAGAGATAAAATAAATTGTCAAGTGGTTTAACTTCAGCAATTGCCAAAAACTAAAAAATTAGTCCTCTTTAGATTGATCATTTAGGAATAGAAATATGACATTTTATGTTCACATAGGTAGGTCTGTCTTGTGAAATGTTAAAATTTTAACATAAAAATAAATCAATTGCTTAATTATACAGTTCCTTATACCTGGACTTCACCAGTAAATTGGTAAAATAGCTATCATGTTTTCTGACTAAAACCCTCACAAGTTAAGGGCACCTAAAGCAACAGCTTTTAAAAAAAATAGATTTGATAGAGTAGAGAAAGTTTAAAACTGCTGTCATTTTTGTGTGTCCCATAGTGCTTCAATTTCAGTCCTAGAGACACAAGAAAGGAAGTCCACTCATCGGAACAGTCTCCCTACAGGAAAACATTACCTGACCTCAAAATTGTGGATTTCCCCCCACAATCTCTTAGCTACAATGTTCACTAGGACAAATAGGGAGGGTGAATCTACCCAGTACGGACCAAGACAAAAATAATCTTACAGGGGCTTTAACATTTCCCCACTCTACTCAAAATAAAAAAGATTTTGGCTTGTGTGTTCATTAAGCAGGTCAAGAAAATGAAGCTCACCTGTAAGCACACAGCTATCAGAAGAAGGCTACATCAAACTATTCAGACACTACTTAGAGAAGTTTATTTCTCAACCGCTCTGTGCAAACAAAGTGTCTTTTTTTTTTTACAAATCACTTTAAAAAGAACTGCAGGATTTAGTAGGTGGTTGATTGATAAGAATGGCATAAGTTTGCATCGGTCAATCATATCAAGAAATCAGCACAGCATTTGCCTGTATAAGCTGTTAATCCATAGAATCCCACAAGCAAGGATGAGTTTGTATAAAAAGATGATATGCCAAAAGTATTTGAGGTCTGATGAGTCTAAGACAGAGCTTACTGGCCAAGGTTTAAAACAATACAGTAAGTATGCTACAAATATACCACATCTCAACACACACCACACCTATACTGAAATATGATGTTGGTATCTTTTCGTCAGGAGGCTAAGAAGCCTATTTAAATCAAAGAACGATATTCATTTTTTATTTAAAAAAATTCTGAGTGCAGTGCCTGCAGATGTTCACTGTACAGCACTGCAGTGAGGAGAGTCCCATCATAGGACGTTTCCTCCTAATGCCACTTTTTCCGCATTTATTGGAATGGCTAGGGCTTCAATTGCATTGGGAAGCACAAAAAACAACACCTGTAAAGCACCATGCCGTGTTTTAAAAAAAAATGTGCCAGAGTATTTTTTTCCTGGAAAGCTGTGGTATGGATGTGGTTAAGCATACCACTGCTTTATATACAGGCTCCAGGAATCTTGTCAAAACCAAAAGAAAAAAAATTAATGGAGAATGCAAAGTTTAACGGAATGCTAAAAAGCAAACTTTGGCCAAAAGTTATATGGTAGCAAGACAATGATCTTAAAACACAAGGCAGTTGCTCAAGAAAAAGTGAATATCCTATGAGGTCTCTGTTAAGGCTGTGATCTCATTCTAATTATGAAAAATTAGCAAAATTTAAAAAACGCACAAATTCGTAGGAAGACTCACTCCCAAACAGGCTGCACACACTTCAACATTAAAATAAATAAAAATCTCATGTCCTGCTGGCTACAGCAAACATCGCCCCTCCATTGATGATGGATACTCCCCACAACAGTGATCTTCTTGCACTGCAAGGGCGAGAGGTTGTGGCTGTGAAGGATCATTCCATTCCCCCTCCAAATCCTTGTATTATGTTCCCAGAAAGGTGTTCCATGAGTGGATGAGGGTGGATAAATGACATAATTGCCCTTAGTCCATTCACAGAACAGAAAGGGGAAAGCAAATGGCACAATATTTCACGTCTGCCACAACTCTTAATCCCTGCAGAAGATCACCAATGATACAGCATTAATGCAGGGAGAATTTCCATGATAACCAGCATCACATGGGATGTGCTATATTAGAGGTAACATATGTGACTGGTACTGTGTGCTCCAAATTTTTTTATGGGGGTTCAGCTTTAAAGAAACTCGGTCACTGTGGCCATTTACGACAAAGTTGCAGTCTTTTTAAAGACCCTTACCCCAAACCATGTGTCCTTATTGTCTCAGCCCCTTACACTGGGTTCATGACGTTGTCCTCCTCTTCACAAGACTGAAGAGGCTTGGTGATTGGCTACTAGGCCCTGAACACTCAATAATAGGAGAAGGACATCTGCTTTCCCATACTTGGAAGTCCCGGGTATTTTGCATCACCTCCAATGATGCAACCCAGAGGAGTTACAGCAAGGTGAGGGTAGTGGGCTTTAAAGAGACCCTGCCACTTTGCCCTTAATAGGCAAAGTTAGTCTCTTTAAGGTATGATCACTGCAAGTTTAAACTAAACTCTTGGAGCAGTGCACGAAAAAGGACAGAAGGGAAAGGACAAAAGGACTAGTCACCATCATTGACGGTGGTTTCCCTAAAGCTGATCTTTACCCAGTACCCACTTACCATGCTTTTGTGTACTGTGCCTCTGAGTGGAAGCAGCCATCTTGGCAAAGGCAGAGTCAAAAGATGTCAAAGTTTTTATAACAGGACAAGCTTGCAGCAATTGAAAGTCAGAATAAAGTTTAAATTTCTGATCCATATACACATGTCCCATATCATTAGGGCAGCCTGTCTCAACCAGAATGCTGTGGCCCACTGGGGTCAAGCTCTGATGTGAAAGAAGGGGACTTGTGTGTAGGGGGCTCCTGATGTGAAAGGGGGGTGTTATGTGGGAGGTCTGATGTGACGGGGGAACCCTATTTTGTGTTTTTGCGTGGGGCCCCACTTAAAATCCATACCAGACAGCTATCTTGAATAAGGGTACGGTATGGATTTTGAAGGGGCCACATGATGTTTTTTTTTCCACGTTTTTTTTTTACATTTTAGACTGGTGTGCCTCAAAATTTTACATACTTTTAAAAGGATGGCGTGACTGAAAAAAAATGAGAGATGGGGTCAGACATGGCAGTTCACATTTTTTACCTGACAAAGCTCCAACAGCCTTTGGAAAAGGACATTTTTTTTCAGTGTTTACAATGTGTTCTGGCAAACTGGAAACCACATCTACAGCTATGTAAAAAAAGTGTAAATGAGCCACGCTAAAATGCTTACAAGTGATCCAAGAATGAATATCTAAAGAAAGTAATAATCATGTGCTAAACAAAATGCAATACTAATCATTTGTTATAACAGCTCATAGCATCCACATGTAATAAAAAGTAGAATAATGGAATATGGCAGATAAATACATCACATATAAGCGATACGTGAATAGAACAATATTCAGCGATCAAAATTCATAAAAAATCCAATATAGTGCCCATATAAAAAGGTGAACAAATAGTTTGTGAATATCAAAAAAAATCGTAGGAAAAAAAAAAAAAAAAAGTGTCCACCGTTTACTGTTGGAACAGTTCTCATGTAGAAAGTTCCCAAAGATAGTCAGAGCCTCTCCCAAGAAAAACCCTTCTGGAGTGCTGCTCAACCGGTTAAAAGACCTACTGACAGGTCTAAATAGCACCTTCCCTCCTAATTAGTATGGGCGGGGGAAACCCACATAGATCTCACAAATCTTTAGCGTCTCTCTCCTTCATACACGTACAACTCTCGGGGACATAAGTCAGCCGCAACGCCAGTACCAGGATAGATGTACTCGAGAGATCATGCGGTAAAAAAAGAAAGCCAATAGCGCAGACCATATGGTAATAAAAGCGCACTTTAATTAAAATAAAGTGTACTCACAGCATTCAAATATAAATAGCTTTAAAAAAAGTTCTGCTATTGCCGTTTGTGTCTAATTACACTGCGTCCACCCTATGTGTGTTGCGTCCTCTATGCAACTTCATCATGTCCATCTATCTTGATGAACACTTTCCACACGAGAACTGTTCCAACATTAAAGACTTTTTTCCACGATCTTTTTTGATATGCATGAACAATTATTCAGCTTTATATGGCCACTATATTTGGATTTTTTTAATGCATTTTGATTGAATGATTACAAAATATTTTCCTTTTTCCATTATTATACAATTTATGCTTGATTGACACAGTTTTGAGGCTTAAAGAAAAATATTTTTCTATTCACTTATATGTGATGTATTTATCTGCCATATTCCATTATTTTACGTTTCATCACGAGGATGCTATGAGCTATGTTATAACACGATTAGCATTGCATTTTGTTTAGCACATGATTATCACTTTCTTTAGATATTTATTCTTGAGGCACTTATAAGCATTTTAGAGCTGCTCATTTACACTTTACATATTGTAACCATTTTTTGCCGGAATGGGGCTGCTGCTTATGATCTACGACCGTTTGATTGGTGCGAGGCACTTCTTATTTGTGACATCTACAGCTATACTGACTGATCTGAAGCAATCAAAAGGGCAATACAGGGCATGAGAACATAGTATTTTGACCCACAATGCATTATATGGTCTCCAAGGATGGCGTGAACACACACACACACAGCTTCCCTTAACACATGCTGTCAAGCTCCTAATCAGTTGACCTCTTAAAGTGCATGTCAAGACAAAATTAGGGGGTTCTAATCCTTCCCCAATAAAACCCAAAACATTTTTTTAGGCTTGACACACATATTATAGTTAATCCTACTAGGGGGAGGCTTAATTTATTACAAAACTTAAAATAAATTCTATTACTGAGCTTGCTGCTGGGCTTTGTTAAAGCATGAAGCATGTTGTATTGAGGCATGAACCCCCCCCCTGTTGTATTAAGGAAGCATGAAACCCCCTGTTGTATTAGGGAAACGGAGGCTTCCTTAGACCGTTTCCTGGTTCAGGCCTACCCAAAACCTGCTCAGCCCACGGAGAGAAAGAAAACCCATTAAATCTGTGTACCTGGCAGTTAGCTGCATTTTAATTTTTACAGCACCCTTCACAGAGGGATGTCGTATTTTTATCATTATTTTGGGGCTTTATGTGGCCATGCAAATAGTGCTTACCCAATAGTACTTAGCCAAACTGAACTGTTAAAGTGCTGTACAGAGCTGTGTGATGAACGTGCTTCTATAGTTGGAAAGAAAGATTTTACGTTCTAAAGGCTCAAAGTTTTATTTTAGCCCAAAACATACCAATATTGTCTGTACCAGCCAAAAACAAGTTTCTTAATGCCCAACTGCAAATCAAAGGCTCTATATTACATGCTGCCAGGTTCAGCATATTTGTGTGTTGTTAATCACTGGTATAGCTACATATTCACAGGTTCCATTACAAATTGTGAAGCACGCTTGCAGTCTCTCGATTTACATACAATACATCAATGCTCCCCCATATATTCCCTGCACTTGGTCACATGATCTATTTTGTCACGTGACCAAATGCATAAAGGTCAGGACCACTGAACTGTGTGTTACCAATGCATGGCCATAAAGAGGGGCAGGACCTGTCAAAGGCTCCCTAACAGCCTAAGGCCTAATCCACTGTTCCTGTTGTGCTTATGAAAAAATGTACTTCATATTTGGTTCATTCAAATTAGGCTAATGGAGCAAAAAATAGATTTTCTAGAAGCATGGTAGATTTTAATGGCTGGATTATAAATTAATGTTTATGAGAGTTACCCTTAGTGGTAGTAACGGTAGCTGCATGCTACCATCAAAGAAACTTCTGATTGGCCAAGTCCACACACTAGTACAGTGCCCACACCTTTGTTTCTCTAGCTGTACATTAACGGTGTCAACTGCCACAAATAGAAGACATACACTTTCAAGCAGGAAGTGCAAACAGAAATGATGATGATAAATGATGGCAAACCCATGCTAAGCAATCAGTTTGACTATATGCACCTAACAACAAAGTGACCAGCTGCAAAACGAATGGGAATGTTTATATCAGAATTAGGTGTGTGACAGACCAGAACATGACTGTGGCCACAATTTTAGTTAAAAATGCTGTGCAAAGATCACTGACCTACACTATCATTTTAATGACAAAGATGGGTGTGTAATGTTTCTGCCACACCAGCAATCATCAGACTAGATTAATCCAATCTGATGTTCTAGCCTACGTTTGCCAAACTAACAGTTTTCATTTCGAAATTTGTGAGGCAAATAATTTAACAGATAACACAAAACGCACAACAAATGTAGAACAGTCTGTTTTATTACCTTATGTAATAAAGTTTTTTTTATTATTTTGTATCATTTTTGTACAACATACATTAATTTGTGTATCAGATGTTAAGGGATGTGGATATGAAGAAAAAATTTGGTGACATCACAATATCTTACAACAATACACAAGGAGTCTGAATTTGTTCAATCTCTCAGTGTATAACAAGGGTGGAGAGCAAAGGCACACATAGGTTTATGAAAAAGTAAATAAATAAAATGAACACATGTTTAGCCATAAACACATGGCCAGGTACAAAAATACTGTAAATGTTTATATCAATAACAAACCCTTAAGGGGTAGTCTATACGAGTGGAGGGATTGGAAAACTACAGTTCCCCAGAGGAACCAATTAACATCTTACTGTATTGCATCTGATTGGCTGTTATGAGCAACATTTAATTTTCCTCAAATTTTACAGGGTTCGATTTACTAAAGTATGAAGGTGAAGAACAATGAACCTGGGGCCACTTCAAATATCCAATCATGAGAAAAGAAAAAAAAAAAAAAAAAGTTTTTCTACTACACATGATTGAATTCTTGATGTGAACTCAAGTTTACCTCGCCTCACTTCACATTGTAATAAAATCAGACTAAGCATTGCAAAATAGTCTTTTGTAGTTTGGCCTGGTTCACACTTTAGCGTTTCAATGTGCATGGCTGATGCATTTGCATTTATTATTCTAAAGTCCATTTGAACTTCCAGTTATGAGCCAAATCAGCTCAATACTTTCCATGTGCATCAAAACAAAAGGTGTGCAAAGTCTTAAAGGAGAACTATGATTTTCCCCATAGTTCTCCTAAGGGTCACGGGAGGACATAAACTAGCGTCCTCCCGTGATCCAAAGCTCAGTATATCGCGAGCTACAGCTTGCGGTATACCGAGACCGCTGCAGCCAGGACGGATCACG